AAGCCCCGCTAACCCCGGGGGAACGAGGCCCGGGGCCCGCCGCGTCAGTACCTTTCTCTTACGGAGGGGCACCGCCTTGTTGGGGTCCATGGCCAACCCCATCTCGGCCAGGTTCTGCCGCACGGACTTGCCGTGGTCCCAGGCATGTCGGATGTGGGAGCTGCGGGAAAAGAGAGGGAGGGAGGGCGCCTAAGTGTCAGCTCGCGGGCCCCCCGGCCAGGCCCGCGGCCTCCTGCGACCCGCCCCCTCACCATTCGATCCGCGGGGCGGCCTTCCGGCGAGCATTCCGGTTCAGACGCTTCCGGTTAACGTTGTAGCCGAACTTCTGCCGCCGGGTCTTCCCCTTGGCCTTGGGCATCACGCCGACCCCCGCTCAGGCAACTCAGACCCGGCGCCGCTCGCTCCGAGAACCTCGTGCGACGGGCTCCTTCCGGCGGCTGCGCGCGCGGCTTGGCAGGCTTTCTGGGAAATGTAGTCCTCCCCGGAGCAATACCGGGCTGACGACTACAACTCCCAGGAGGCATTGAGAAGCTGCGCCTGCGTTCAACGCTCAGCAACCCCCCATACCCCCGCCCCTTTCATGACCGCATCAGGAGGCGGAGCTTAGCGTTGCCCCGGACACCGCGTCTGCTGGCCCCGTGGCTCCCCAGGCGCCCTTGAACCCGCGCAGCCAGCCCGCCTAGCGCCTCGGCGGCTAGTTAGCCAGCCCGCACCGTTCTTCCCGCAGGCACAAAGCTGGCTCCCCGCGGCTGGCAGGCCGTGCTCGACCTCAACTGCATGACCCCCTCCCTCCGGGCCCCGTCCCTGCCCAGGGACAGAGTACAGCCGAGCTGGCCCCAGGGCCCAGGCTGCTATGTCCAGTCTTGCAGGCCAGCCAGGCCTGGCCACCCCCTAGGCCCTGGAGTCGGAGGAAAGGCGCGCTCCGCTTGGCCACGGCGCATGGAAGCGCCGGCTTAGGCAAAGGAGCGCTCGCCGCGCTCTCGGTGTCTGTCCTGCGCGGGCCCCCGTGACCGCGACGTCGCCGGGGCCCGCGCTGGAGCACAGGCCCTATTGCACAGCGGGCGCAGAGAGGGTAAACTGAGGAACAGCCTCAGTCCCAGGGCAGGGCCCCTGTGCTCAAGCCCCTCTCCCTGGAGGGGGCATTTCCAGGCCCGCTGCCCAGCGCCTGGCATGCAGCAGGCGCTCACCACGCCTCGGATGGAGAGCCGCTTCCCCAAGCCGAGCGCGTCACGAGGGCAGAAGGCGTCCGTGGGGATCTCGC